CTTGGCAGACCGAACGCAATGATAATTGCTATTTCTGCAGTTTGTTTTGAGGTTGTTGCTTTTTTTAATGAATTATCCTCAGGTAATAGTGATTGGGTATTTACAATATTACCAGTTGTTCTACAATCAATAAAATTACTTCATATTTATAAAAATCACTATTTTATTCAATAACTTTACGGTCTATGATTTAAGGTATCCTTTAAAAATAACATATGTTCATAGAATTCCCAAATTTTCTTTTTTTTTAAGCCGATCCACTCTTTTTGTATGATTCGTATTCATTTTTTACTCTCACATATGTATCTCTTAAATTTCTCCATTTATTCATGAGAAATTTGACTGAAAACTCTGGCTGTTCTGAAATAAACAATATAATATAAGCAAAATAGGAACTCTGTTAGTTGATGTAATGCATATCTGCAGCTTTAATTTCTGTAAATACTACTGAATAAATAAATTTAAACAATTATTACCACCGAACTCTTGATATATTTTAAGCCATAACTCGTCTCTAATTGTTTTTGAACGTTGAACTAATGGAAGGCGACTATCCCAAAGAGGGGGTCTGGCTTCAACGCAGTTTATTAAAAGTTCTTCAACCCTCACTTCTTGAATGTCACCTTCTGTCCCATCCTATACAAATGAATGTTTTTACATGTTATTATATTAATAAAAACGCTATACGTATATATGTGTCATTGTTGTTTGACTACGTTTATTTACCTTATCAATTTCTTCTTCATATTCGTCGTATTCTGTATCTTCAACCAATTCAGACATCTAATTAATTAAAACAAAAAAAAAATCACAAAATGTCTACTAAATTAACAAGTCCTGGTTCGGATAATCCCCGGAAAATTTTAAATTAGACAGCGTCAGCTGTGACTGGTCACTGGCCTTAGTTACTACCAAACTACGATTTTAATCACTAGTTTAATGAAATGTCCCCAGGTTTATACCTAAAATTTATGACAATCGGATAAAATATTTCGGATGTATGAACACTTCCCAAAAATATTTATACGATAGAAAACGTCAGAACTCCTATCGTATATCGGATGTCGGACGAATGAACAGTAGCCTTTACGCAGATATTTTTTCTTAACCATCCTCGCACGATACAAGCTAGCGGGCACTCTGTGGCGGCACCACACAAGACCTGGTGGGTTTTTGTAGCTTTTTTGTTACGCTATTTGCGAATTTGTAGCTTAGCCCAGGTCCGAAAAAACAGCGGATCCGCTAGCTTGAATTTCCATAGTAGCAGCACAGATTGCTATATCAAGCTAGCGGGCACTCTGTGGCGGCACCATAAAAGACCTGGTGGGTTTTTTGTAGCTTTTTTGTTACGCTATTTGCGAATTTGTAGCTTTGCCCAGGTCCGAAAAAACAGCGGATCCGCTAGCTTGAATTTCCATAGTAGCGGCACAGATTCAGACCCAGCTGGTTTTTCGTAACTTTTTTGTTACGCTAGTCTCCCTTTTGTAGCTTGTACTGAAACTAAGAAAAGCGCAGATCCGCTAGCTTAGCGGATATTTGTAGCGGCACCAGTTCGGACCAGGCTCATTTTTTATAACTTTTTTATTACGCCTGTCTCCATTTCGTTGCGAGGCCTGAACGTGAGTAATAATCGTTTCTCCATGACCATGAGCGTGAGAGAAAAGTGCGTTAATTTAAAATCAAGTTTCGGCCTCTACAAGTAATATGTGCAACTCGATAGTGTGACTAATTGACTATCTGTTGATAGATGGCACCAGTATTGCATTTCATGAATTATGGCCATCTTCCATCCAATATATTTTTGAGAAATTTAGATATAATCTCAAAATCGGACATTTGTTTTTAAATGTTTTTTAGTGTTGTTAATGTAGGTATTTATACTTTTGTTGAATCAAGAATATTCTTACATCTTTTTTTAATGATTTCCTTAACCAATCGTTTTGCAGTATTTATGGACCAGTGTTTAATTCTGTCGGATCACAACTATACAGTGTGTTCCATCTTAGACGAGCTACCCCGTATATTTCTTATCCCATAGTAATTGGAAAAATTTCCCGAAACACATCGGATGATTTTCTTTGGAGGACATCTTTTGACGTATATTTGAGGCTTGAACCAGCAACCCCTATGAGGGGGCGCTTCAACCCCTCAAAATGGAATAGGGAAGAATTGAGTGATACATCATTTGTAAGGTGTATGAAAAAATCACATTCTTAAAAAAATTATTGTTTTATCAAATGAAATGATCGAAGAAACGTGATAAACACCTTCTAAGAACAAACAATGAAGGCAAGATAAGAAAATGTTTTGATTTTTTTTTATTTATTAGTTCGAGAGAATTTATTATTGCATGGAAGTCAATGGAAGACAAATTGAACATTTCATTTAAAAACGCAATTTTGATTTTTTTGATTGTAAGCATGATAAAACAATTGATTTTTTTAAGAATGTGATTTTTTTCATACACCGTTGTAAAGAGGCTTCCAGGACCTTACAAATGAAGTATCACCCAACCCCTCTTCCCTATTCAATTTTGAGGGGTTGAAGCGTTCAAGCCTCAAATATACGTCAAAATATGAGCTATATATATATGGCGGCACCATTCAAGACCTGGCGGGTTTTTTGTAGCTTTTTTATTACACTATTTGCAAATTTGTAGCTTAGCCCAGGTCCGAAAAAACAGCGGATCCGCTAGCTTGAATTTCCATAAATTCCATAGTAGCGGCACAGATTCAGACCCAGCTGGTTTTTCGTAACTTTTATGTAGCTTTTTTTTACGCTAGTCTCCCTTTTGTAGGTTGTACTGAACCTGAGCAAAGCGCGGATCCGCTAGCTTAGCGGATATTTGTAGCGGCACCAGCCCGGACCCGGCTCATTTTTTATAGCTTTTTTGTAGCTTTTTTGTTACGCCTGTCTCCATTTATTTATTTATTTATGGAAATTCAAGCTAGTGGATTCGCTGTTTTTTCGGGCCTGGGCAAAGCTACAAATTCGCAAATAGCGTAACTAAAAAGCTACAAAAAACCCACCAGGTCTTGAATGGTGCCGCCACAGAGTGCCCGCTAGCTTGATATAGCTGTTACCAGCCCCTGCCCCGACCGCTTCAAAGTCTAGAATTGCGGAACGCAACTTCAATTGTCATATGTCATATTGTCAACCGTCGTACTTTCGATGTTGTCAATTGTCATATATGTTTTGGACTTTTCTCTTTTCTGCAGTGGCACATTTTCTAGATTTTTTATTTATATCGGCAGTGGGATAGTGAGTGAGTGTTCTGCCTGCATTTACATCTTTCATCATATCATTATGGATTTGAGGATGTCAAATAATCAAATGGTAATGCATCTTGCCATTTGCTTGTTCAATACGTTTACTGTACTGGGTGTTTGATACAAAACTAATAATTCCAACTTTGGAGATTTTTATTCATTTTTCTATGGGAACTGAAGCTGGACGTTTTGATGAAGTGTTACTTTTGCTTTAAAACCATTTTGATGTAAGTTCTTTTTTTTCTATAAAAATAAAGTTTTGTTTATTAACTATTGAAATAGAACATAAATTCAAGTAGATGATGTCAGTTTTTTATACTTATGTGCACTAGAAATATTCGATTTTTATTACAAAAAGTATTAAACACGTTCAGATCTCAGTATAACAAATAATTCCTCAAACTATAGACTATTTAAAAAATCACATTAACTATATTGATTATAATGCAATACAATCTTTCTCACACATCTAACTGAAAACAACTAAACCTTTTTCTGTCAATAAAGGATGAATAGGACCAGTTTCCACAAAAACAAAATGCAATACAATAAAAAATGATCTTACACTTTTCTTGATTGACTAGGTGTATTATGTTTGTAGCGAGGGGTGGTTCACTCCTGAAAAAAATGTACATGTATTTCCAAAATTGCCTAATCTCCTAAGATTTCCGAAAATCTTTTGGGGTTTCTGGTGATTTCTGCAAATCTTTTTTGGAATTTCCAGTGATTTCTGGAAATCTTTTTGGAATTTATTATTATTATTATTATTATAATTTGATAAGAGCAGGGGCCATAAGACCCATAAGCCCATATTAACTGAATATAAAACAATATTACTAAAAACTAAATCAATAACAGGTACAACCGATGAATAAACAATGAAACAAATGAAATGTTAATTAAAAAATAGAAAATTATCAAGTTCGTTCTTAAAAACATTGACAGATGGAGCATTTACAACATTCTCCGGTAGAGAATTCCAAGTGTGGAATATTCGATTAAATAAAAAATTTTGCCTCGTTTTCGTAAAAATTTTCAAAATTATATTTTAAAATACGGGGATTTCTGAAAATACTTTGGGATTTCCATAGATTTCTAAGATATTTTAATGAATTCCAGTGATTTTCAGAAATCGATAAAGGATTTCCAGGACTTCAGATTATCAAAAAAAACTTTAAAATTAAATAACTTATTTCAAACTTTAAAGCCCTACTGTTATACTGCAGGGAGTCTGAGCAAGGTTAATGTATTTATCTATCAAATGTATATATATATTTAGAATAATAAATAAAATGAATAAATGATTTGAGTGGATTTTGGTCCACCTTTTTAACAAAGGTGTCACAGTACTTCTTTATCAAATAACGACTAGAAATTGTATATATGTATAGATCGATCGTTCAGAATATTTCAATAAAAAGACCTGAAATGATTAAATTGGTAGTGAATTTTATTTTTATTTGTGAATAACAGATAAAAGGTATTTTAAAATACGTTAAAATAGGTATTATATTCCTTTTTTGACATATTTGAAAATATTTTCTTCAATTTATCATGTCTTTTTAACTGGAATGGATAGTTTCCAATTAACTGGATGGGCCCATAAAAAATATACTCATTTTGTACCACTTGGACGGCATCATCTTTTGGCCATATGTATTCATTTAGTTCAAACTTGAGAAATTTGATTTTACTCTGATTTTTACTAATTTTGTTGACAACTCTTCCAATCTACCAACTTTCATAACAAACGGCATAATAACTTTCTTCATTGATTTCCAGAATTTTATTCACATCATTATCTGAGTCAGTACCAGAATGAATGCTTTCGCACTCAAATTCACTCTCTAACTCGACTGTGTCTTCCTCATCAGAGGTGGTATCAGTTTCTTCATCAATTTTTGGATGAACTTGTTTTCTTTTTTTGCAAAGTTTTGTTTTTTTTTCTGTTTTTGGAATTTTAGCCGATGATAAGGACTTACAGCGGAGAAGTCTATCACTTAATAAATGTCCTTTATGTAAATCTTTTGAAGATAACCAACATAATGTAGATTTTTTAACTATTTTCTCTTTACCATTAACTAATATTTTTAATAGTGTTTTATCATCAAGTTTGCATTTATCGGAGTAATCTGTAATATTTAAACTCTCAAAATCAGAAAACAAAGTAAGTTTTTCTCTAATATCATTAAAATATGCGTCCTGTTCTTCGGGAATTTCAGAAATTTCTTCTAAAGATGTACTTTGTTCTTCAGTTGGTTTGTTATGATGATCCCACACAGTATCTTCCTCAGTATCTTGCTCCGTATCTTCTATGTGAGGGATAGACACTGTTCTTAACACTTCTTCCTGGATGTCATCAGTAGAGCTGTAAAAGTAACGAGAAAATCAATACCCGTATGTATTCGTTACTTCGGATCTGACTACCCATATAAAAATATTCGTTACTCGTTACTTTCGTTACTGTGATACGAATCTACAGAACACGCATCGTGTGGACCTCATACACGTCTATGCGGATGCGGAATTGGTGTCGGTAACTAATCGTACGTACGCATTGCTTCGGTTGTTAGGTTTTGGTACTGTCTAACAGAGGGTGCGGATGAAATTAGATATCGAATCGTTGGTTAAATAAATACATAGCGAATTTGGAATTTGTAATTAGTAACAAAGTCGTGTAGTTCACTGAGCATGAGCAATGAGAACTGATGCGAAGTTTTGCAAAATAAAATATCGTCAGACAGGTTGAACAGAAACATATATATTTTTCTAACACACTAGTAGAAACAATAATAATACTCTATAAAATCATAACTTTAATAAACAAAAACATTTTATATTCTTGCAACACGCAACAGAAAAACAACTATTATACTATTCTTTAAAACTGAAATAAATAAATACATAAATATAAACAAAAATACGTTTCGAACTCTCCGAGTCCCAGTCGACGTGCGGTTCGATAGTCGATTCGCATCAAGGCCACACTCGCATTTCGCATCGCCCATCGGGCCATCTCGCATCTTGCACACCGAACCGGTGGCGGTATGTATTCTCAAGTATTATTATTGTGCGTTATGCGACGATGCGGATGCGAGTAACGAAATTTAAAATGCAGTAACGAATTCGTATTTCGTATCTGACCGACTACCCGTTACTGAGTAACGAATACATACGGTTTGCCACAGCTCTAGTCATCAGGGAGAATCATATCTAAACTATTTGAGTCAATAACCGCAGAATGTTTTGCATTCTCCAAAATATTTTTTATTTGGTCACAAGTAGGTAATTCACCATGTTGTGTAGACTGGTTTCTCCCAAGTTTTCCGCTTTTCTCTCTTGGAAAAACATTAATTTCCTGAAATAAACAAAAAACTAGAAGTATTATGAGTAATGAAGACATCTACTAACATCCCTATTCCCATACCTAACTACAAATACAACCAAGTTAGAAGATAGTGCTATGAGAAGTACGAACGTAATTATATTCCATACTGACGGTTATTATTCCTTTTTCGTAATCCCCCATTACACTGCATAAATGTGAGGTTTTTTTTATGAAAGTGGGGTTTGTCAAATTAACTATTAATAAAAATTTAATTACCTGCATCATTCACTATACTATTAAGAGTTTGGATTCTATTTTTTCTTTGAATGAACTCCATTATATGAAAATTAACAATGGTTGAGTAAGTCGATGTCATTGAACGGGTTTGTCTAAAGTCTTGTTCACATGGCTGGCTGGTACATAACCATGGTAGAAGTAAATTTGGTTGTGATCGACATTTTTCTATCATTAAAATTATCCCATGTGCATTTAGTTCTATGCAAGTGTAAGTATAAACTGTGAGCCAATTTTTGGATAATTTTAAACACTGAATATTTTCCTGGATATTTTCTTTGTCTTGTTTTTTTTTTCTTTTTCATTATCTATGACATATTTCATCCAGCCTCTCCATAGACGAAGGAAGAATGTGGAATACCAAATTAAATAAATTCGTTTTTCAATTGTCATAGATTTATCTAAAAATGAATCAAGAACGAATCTTGTTATTATCAAAAACTGTCATGTTGCCTTATATTTATCATATTCCATCAAATAAGTGACACAAGGTGAAGATAATTTGTCAATAGCTTCAAAGTTCATCTTGTCCCTACCTGAAAAACACAAAACATATTTAGTTTGAAAAATTTGCATTTTTTTAATAGTAAATCCTAGTTTAAACCTTATTTAAAGGCAATAAGACTTACCAACTAAATAACTGGAACATAGAAAATGTCTCTCTTGGGTACTTATTAATCAAATCTTGTAAATGCTCCTTTGCAACACTATACATTCCCATTATTAAATCGACTTTTGGATTCAACAATCTTGTCTTTAGTTTTGTTGAAATATGTATGGGATCTTGGATAATTACAGGCACAGGAAAATTTTGCCTAAAACGAGTTAAAAGTATAACATTAAAAAGTAACTAGTTACATAGGCGCCGGAACTCAAAAATTGCTTTGGGTGCCCGGCCTATATGCGCGGGAAATGGGGGCTATCACCCCACCTTCCACACCTCACTTAGAGGCACCACCGGTTTTCTTGAAAGCACTTAAAAAGCTATTTTAAAGCGTCGATTTTATGAAAATTTTCTTGGAAAAAAAGGTATTGTCAAATGTTCAATTGCTGAATAGGCTGGAGGCTCCCACCTAACACTATATGCTCGGTGATATTCAGTGGTGCTGCGGTGCTAAGTACTAATGAAATAAGTAGAAACACAATGTAAAACATTTATTAATACACATAATGGAGTATTGTATATATACATTTGAAAACAAAACAGAGCCAATTTTGGACACCCCAGGTAATTCACGAAAAAAACGCTTGGATCCGTCAATTTTTGATTTTAGGGGGAACATTTTTTTTGCTAGTTCCACCCCCTGAACGGAAACCCTCTAGCGGGGGTGAAACTTACCTGTAAAATCTTCAATGAAAAGAGGGGCAGATTAATAGCTTATTTTGAAGGTATTTATACATAGATTATAACCCCGAGTTTTAAATCGATACTGTCTTCCTAGCCATGATCTTTAAACGATTTTATTTTCTGAAAAAGCTTACCAGTTTAAAACCTCTGGGACATTTTGAGGCATCTATGGGGTGATTTGATGACATTCATCAATTATCCGTTATCGCAGATTTCCCAGTGATGTTGGCTGGGTGGCATAAGTTTTAGTTTTCAAATGACCCCATAAAAATCTAACGGGCTTAGATCCGGAGACCGTGGGGGCCACTCAATACCTCCTCTTCTTCCGATCCATTGACTTGAAAACGTTTGATCCAAATACTGATGAATACTGGATAACTGGCGTTTTCTAATAATTTCAGATACATTTCTGCAGTTAAACTTTCAGGTTAAAAAAAGGGGCCAGTTATACCGTTGCTAAAAATGCCAGCCCAAACATTCAGTTTTTCCGGATGTTACATATGCACTTGCTTGCGCACCCAGAGCCCCGGGATTCGGCGCCTATGACTAGTTATAAAAATAAATTACCTGAAAATATGGAGAGTACTCGATCGTGTCCTCGGTCGGAAGTTTCGCAGTGCTTTTCGAGGTACTTTTATTTTGCTTAACTGAACAACTTTCATCATCTGTAGAAGATTGAGTAATAGGCAAACCGGTTATAATTTTCATGGCCTTAAGGCAACACGTGTTACCATCAGAAGAAAATCCTTGCACAGTTATGCCATGATTATTTGCTTCTTGTCGAATATAATTCCAGTGAAGTAATACATCCTCAAAGCAGAAACAGTTGTCACTACCAAATATTGAGAGGCAGAAGGCGGGTGATCCATCTACTAAAGGTTGCGCCATAAAAATATAAGCATTCTTTGCTAGTTTTTTCTGTAATACCTTTTTAATGTCATTAATACAATTAATATCATTTTGTCCTATAAGAGGAAATCCTGTTTGGTTAGAAGTTTCTAAAACAGGACCTAGTATTTGATTAGTTGATGAGTTGTAACGAAATCTACTTGTAATAGCAGTTTGGTCTTCTGAGATAAATATCGTTAGAGGATAGTCTCTTTTCTCAAGAAATACTTTCAGTGCTGCAAAGGACATCTCACCTTCTATGTATTTTTCAAACTTTGCTATACTCCTACCAATTGTGATTCTAGAACGTATTCCGTAAGCCAGATTGGCTGCTAAAATTTCATAAGCTAAACGACCTGCGGTTAAAAACAAATACACACAGAGTTTTTTCAATTTTTCCGGATATCTATTTCCTGGGTGTTCTGTAACGTCGTCCCTAGAATTATTCTCAGCTGCTGTTTTAAGCATATGAAAAAAAGTTAGTGGTTCATCAAAAGAATGACTTTTAGCTGTATCATTCCTTATTATGTTCATACCAGATATAAAATTAGTTTTTAGTCTCGTTTTTAGTTGAGAATTTTTTTGAATTTCACATTCTATCTTTTTACATATTTTTTCAAAATAATCTGTAATCTTTGACTGTGATTCATTAAAGGTTAACATTCTTGCTGTTTTAGTCCTTTATTGACGTGAGGGTGTAGAAGCAGAGTTGCCCATTTTTATTGGTCCCTCGCTATCAACTCTGCTTAAAGAAAAATCCTGATCTACATTGTCAGCTAAGAGCGCGATGATGAATAATTTCGAAGTAGGATTGATTATGCACAACGTCTTATGTTAATAATAATAATAATAATAATAATAATACTCTCCCTAATTCACCCCCTTACGAGTGAATTTTAACCCCAAAAGCTGAGCTTGTGCGGGGAAAGGGACGGCTATTATTATTATTTGCCGTCGCGCTTCGGGGCGACTTAAAGATGATTGATGGTGCCATTTGACTTACAGGTGAGGAAAACCCGGAAAACCTCACCCACCATCATCGAGACGGTAATGCATGGCGATTTTATAATCTGCATGTCATATCAACAGAAATTGAATTTTTATTAATACGGCACACATCAAATCCTAAACCGAACCATGCAATATAATTATAAATCCACATGGTCCGGCCTGGGATTCGAAGCCCAGCAGTCTTTGACTCATAAACTTGCCTATAAATGAATATAAGCGCGTTAGACCGCTACACCACCGACCCGATATCTATCTACGGTTTGTATAATCATGATCCTATTATGTTAAATATTTCACAATCGATTAAAAATAATACAAGATCCCATAGTACATATAAAACGATAACTAGAATTGATACTGATAAATTGAAACAAATTCGAAACTGTGAACTAGGAAAATATATGTAATGAAAATAATCCAGAAATTGCAACATAACTCTTTTATGACAAGTAAATATTTTAATATTATTAAATTTTGTCAAACCACTCAAAATATTAAAATTAAAACTTATAAAAAAATAAAACCGTGGAAATAAATGGTGTTATTAATTCTATAAAAACTAGGAATAAACTTAAAAAACAACTACAAAAAAATATGATGTTAACAAAGTACCCCCTTACTAACAAAAAAGAATCATAGATATCGGACAAGATGGTAAAGAATTATCGCTAAACATACATACAAAATGAAGAGTTTGATCAAATTGATATGGGACCATCCCTGAAGTATCCCCATTCTAACAAAAAAAAAAAGAATGATTGAAATCGGATAACGTGTTAAAGACTTATCGGTGAACATACATAAAAAAATATATCGACGAATTAAGATCCACCTCCTTTTTTGAAGTTAAAAATTAGTCTCTTCGACTCCCAAGTTCAAAAATGGAAAGTAATAATTCGAAATATCTGTCTACTGACAGACATATAATTGTTATCGAAGGAAAGAGATGGAGCAATAGAGGTGTTTGAAAAATAACGGTATGAAAGACAAAACGGTACAAACTACTCCCACTAAAAACTAGTTAAACTACTAACTACTGGTTAGTAGTTAAAATTTCAACTACTTTTTATAACTACTTTTATATTAGTGTTAATTTTCTGTTTAAAGATTGAAAACCAATTTAGTTCCATAGATTTTTATAAAAAATTTTTTTTCATGAAACAAAAAATAAACTCATTTAAACAAAATAAATTATTATGTAATTATATTACCATTGGCTTTTAAAACTACTACGTGTTCAAACAATTGCTAATTGCATTTACCCCTGCAGTCCCTGCTATTGATTTATTTGGTTGATCGCCTTTATCAAAGAAATAGATTCCTCTTTGCATATCCCCAATTTGTTCCTTTAGGATTGGATTAATATCATTGTATTACTTAAAAATAATTCAGAACTTCTATTTATAAATTATTTCAGTATTTTCTGTTGATCCGTTTTTGGATCTATTTCTTTAAACACATTAAACCACCTCAGCTTTATACCAGGTATGTTAAACGAAGCGATTCCTGCTTCAATTGATTGCTCATTGATAGAAAATAACATATTAAACTTACGCTGAAGTGAAGAAGTTGTGAATATTTATATTGCTTTTCACTTTTTCCAACTTTACTTTTAAACATAAAATGCTAGGAAAAAGCTATTTCTAAAAAATCTAAAGTTTCAGCACAGGCTTTAATACCGCTAAGTATTCCTCTAGGTAAATCATTTTAGTTTATTTGAAAGCATTTTTTAGTTCAAGTTTGTCATAATTATTACGACTATCAATATCATAAACATCAAAATAAGAAAACTCAATCGCTAGACCTCTACAATCTCTAGGTACCTTTAAGGCACAATAACTCAAGTATTGACGAGTTGACGCCAGCGTTATCATGAGAATATAAAACACACAAATTACTATTTCTTTTGCCGTCTGGTACTGCGCACGCGTTTTACCTATTTTTGTACCTATATAGTTAAAGACAGTAGAAAATAGTTAAAATACTTTTAAAAGCAGTTAGAGTACAAAAAGTAATTGGAACTACTCAAAGTAATTAAAATTCGGTAGTTAACTACTTCTTTAACTACTATTTTGAGTACAACTATGTTTTAACCAAATGTAGTTTGAGTACAACTATTTTTTCTGAAAAAGTAGTTAACTACTGCCCAGCTTTGCACAACAGTCACATGATTGATCACTCGCATGTCATTAATTATCATTTTTGAATCAACAAATGGACAAAGTCGAAATTTATTTACAGCAAAAAAAATGCAATATGATGCGCACTTTATGTGTGACACTGTATATGAAGAGATTATACTTTATCTAGTTCCGAAATTTTTTAAATATCAGATCATTTAACAACAAAACTTTAAATCATAAAAATAAAATGTCAAAGCACGTCATAACCTTTAAAAAAAATACAAATTAATATTATATACATTGAAAGGGATCGAAATTAAATGAACTTTTTTTCTTTGATTTCGTTAATAACATATTTCTATTTTGTGGACCAACCCTTAGGTCGTTTATCTTAGATACGGATATGGAATTTTTATTCTATTTTTGTTATATAATTTTTAATATTGAACATAATCAGAAATAAGGGAGATAAAGATAGGAAACGCCCATAAGAAGCCAATGCTTAACAACGACCAGCTTTATCATAGTTAACATCTGACCCATTATGTGGCGCTTTCATCGATATTAAACAACGCAGCGGGAAATTTAAAAACTTGATAATATAGGTTGTATAAATATGGATTGCACTCTCATGTTCTTATAAATAAACTTAAACATTGTAATTTCGCTAAATTATTTATTAAAATGAATACTACACTTACAGTCTATTATCGATTAATTATTGTACAACTATATTCATGACCAATATTTGGTATCTTATTTAAAAATTTTGAGTGCGAACTCAATAATGGGAATTCAGATATTTTTCTTCCTATTTCAAATCTTCTCTCTAAAGGGCCCCACTCACCTCGTTCTTCTTTGCCGTTTTTAACCGACGGTTAAAAACGTTGGAAGGAAAAACGTTAACTGATATGTCCACACACAACAGTTTTTTTCGCGACAGTTTATCACGATGGACCCTACGTGCTTGTTAGCAGTGACAGCGGTTTTGGCAGTGGAAAAAAATCTCGAAGAAAATGGACTAAAGACTGGCTACTTAAACGCAAGTACACTGTCAAAAACAAATTTACTGGAGGAGCTAAGATTGGAGCCTGGTGATTGGCACAATTACTTGAGGATGGACGAGGATACGTATCGGAAACTGTTAAAACTATTAACACCGTTAATTGAGAGACATAATACCCATTTACGGGAATGCATCAGTCCTCACGAACGCCTAACAGCTACTCTGCGGTTTCTGGCCACTGGCCGGGGATCTGAAGTTTTCTGTTATTATTTCACCGCAGGCACCAGGGCGCATAATACCCGAAACCTGCCAAGATCAATAAACTCTAATAACAAATCTCTGTTCCACTGCTTAATATCCGACATTTTTATTGTAAATAATAATAAACAACAAAAACATGCTGAACGTCACTGCTACTAATAAATGCCCGACCAGTCAAACTGTTGAGAACATACACCTCGTGTTTACTCGAACGGTTGGCACGATAACCGTCAAAAATCAAGACTCGCCTGAAATTTTGGAACGACGTTCATAAACGACGTTCTTGCCCATACACCTCGTTTTTGTGACATTTTTACCCTGACATTTTTAACCGTCGGTTAAAAACGGCGGAGAAGAACGAGGTGAGTGGGGCCCTTAACGTTTTGAAGCCATTTTCTTGTTTTAAAACAATAAATAATACATAAATACTTGCTTTGTGATAAAGGTTGGTTTCTTTTTGTGTTACTTACATGACTAGATCTTACTTTGGCTAATTAAAGAACGCCACATTGAAGTTGTTAAATTTATTCATGTGGCATGTGTGTTACTACTGCAATACGTTCTCCGACTTATTGTAATATTACAAAATATAATTATTGTCCTCAAATTTCATACAAAAACAGCCACAACCATTTCACTTAGTTTATGTACAGGATAACACAATCATGAACTCAAAATTTAAAATTTAAATTCAAGATTCTTCGATATACATAAAACTAACTGACATTTACAAACTGTCCACTGCTGCCCATGTCTACTGTCTGTCTCATTGTTGCCAAAAATACTATTTTAATCGTATTTATACTATTTTTTTAACTCTCTGTATGATGTACGATTGTATAAGTGAGATCAACGTAAAAATATGATCTTCACTTTTTTAGTAGGTTTATTTAAATATCTGCAACAACTTCAGAATTTAATTTAATTTAAAGTTTCATGTATTTTCTTTAGTTTTCTTTTCGTTGCAAACATTTTTATAAATAGATAAATAAATTATCATCAAAGTTTTTTTTTATCTTTTCATTCCATTTAAGCTATTTAATGCCATACATGTTTCTATTGTACGATTTTTTTTGTCGAAATACCATTTTCCTACTCTACTTGTACGATATCTTAAAAAAATATTTGGCAACACTGCAAACAACGTGTATTTTTAGTTAACATCTGAGATGCATAGATGACGCCATCGTTGCAGCGGTCGTTGCGTTTCCTATCTTTATCTCCCTTATCTCTGAACATAATCATATCCATAAAACATTTTACTACGTTTCGAGTAAATTTCATCCTCAGTACATAGAAAAATAATCACAGCCTAAATTTAAAATTTATTATTTGTAAGCATTGCAACAAGCTCAACTACTACAGAAACATAGTAAACTGTTTGTGAAATCTGCCCCTACTAAAAAGTTCTGTAAATGAATGTGTGACTCATTGGGTCACATCAGAAGGTTAAAGCCATAGATATAGAAGTCAGTTGTATCACAATTATTTTAAAATTTATTTTTTCTTTGCAGATTCTGGAGGATTTGGAAAACTGGTTAATTTTTAACAACGCCATTACAAATTCAAAAAGCAGCAGTACCACACAATTGTATTAATAGTACTCAGTAGGTTGCACTTCTCTAAACAAATAGAAGAAGATTAAATTTGAACAATCATTTGTTGACGCATCATTACAACTGACATTCTAGGAAAGTATCTCGTCTTGAAATACAAAATAGGCGCCGAGAAACATGTCAGGATCTTTAACCAGATACTACAGAATGTTTTGGAGATCTTACTCAAACTGAGAGTGTCATCATTCCTTGGAGAAACATAGAAGTTCCATAACAAGTTTCCGTTGGACTATTAATTTTCATAACAAATTTTATATTTTCTTACTCAATACTTATTTTGTTATGGTATTTAATCTAAAAGATATGTAATATATGTATTTTTCAAGGGGGGGGGGGGGGGGGGGGGTTCAATTATTACGTAAGCAGGATTAGGGGGCGGAGGTTTAAGTTTTTTATTTTTGCCGACAAAGGAGGCGGGGATATTATTATAATCCGTACTTAAAATACGGATTTCGTTCTAACATGGTAAACAATGTTAGATGATCTCTATATCAATTTCAGATAGCTGAGATGTTGATAAAGGGCGCTGATTTGTTTGGTTTTTGTAAATATTGTTGTATCCTGGAAAAGGGTATGGGAAATACATGTCCTATTAGTGTTTTATGATGTGACAAATAAGTTCCAATGGGAGAGCAACAAAAAATACCAAAAAGAAACGCCCAGATAACAACTTCACATTCTTAGCATATTCTAAGAACCTACGTTTTGAGAAGTATAGAACGTGTGTTATTATCATTTAGCATGTACTAAGAATCTCGGCCGATGTTACCGAGCTCTCTTTCCACGTTCTAAGCACATGCTGAGAATGTACGTCAGTATGTGCATAGAATATGCTAGAGAGCATGCTCGGTAGATGTCCAGAATGTTCTTAGAATATTCTGCAAAGCATAATTTGTGGTATTCTAGCGTATATTAAAAGAATGTTATCTTAATTTTAAATAAGACATATATCACCTCTTAGTGATCTGATGAAAAAAATTCTGCTCCTCATTAAAAAAAAAACGAAGTGATGGTTCCTTTAACGACGAAACGTTATACACAAAATTAAGGCTAACATTAAAAAGCTCAGATTATTTAAAATAAATGTCTGTTTCTCTAAGCTTATATTTAACGAGATACCAATCTATAAATTAGTGTCTTTGCATATTGGACCACCGTGGGCCACCACGGTGGTGATACCAACGCAATAGGATTATTTCATACAGAGTACGGCCAGAAACGCTTAGTGTGCAGTTACCATACCTTGGTGTCACCACCAAGGTGGCCCAAAACATTAATTTTTTAAACACGAAAGGGTTATTTATTTATTGTTTGCCTTCTTTTTATTTATATTTGTTATTCTTTCCCTTGACTTGACCAGCCATGATTTTATTACTGCAATTGTGTCCATTTATTTCGAATCAATATAAGGTAAACTGCGGTACGTGGAACTGCAAATTTTTAAACTGCAACTTTAAACTGATTTTTTTTTAATGTGCCATTACATCTGCATAATATTAATTACGCTTAGTTAAAGTACATTTTTAAAAGGATATTTCACCTAACGGACCAACTCTTTTTTCCTATTTTTTTTTTATTTTGACACTGCACAAGTTCCACTTGCCCACGTACATGGGGAAACTGGAACCTTCGGCTTATTTTTCTATTAAGAGTGTATTTCATTTTGATGGCGAAAGTGTAAAAAATAAGTTTCATGTGCGTAAGAAAAATCCTTTATTTAAAAAAAATATATATAACAAATTAAGCCTATGTTATAGCTATCAAAATTTACACGAAATATTATTTTGTCCCTTTCAGTTATAGATGGCGTGGGTAAATGTATATAGATTTCATCTTTTTCTATGATGCTTTTGTCCTCAACAATAGGCCAGTAAAAGCTCGACGTCTTACCAAATCTGTGAGAAAAATTTGCCTCCAGGCATGATTCTTTCTCTGTCAGCTGTCCCACATTCATTTTTACGGCTTTCTCCTGCCTTAATTTGACCACAATCCAGTCACCAACATCTAGTTTTGATAAGTCCAACTGCATTTGATTTAACTAGTCGATTTCCTGATTCATCTCTTCTATTTCGTCTTCACAATTATCAGAGGAAGTACTTTGAAAATCACCAAAACTATATTTTTCCATTATATTCTTTCTGTAGTATTTTTCTTCCTCGTGTCTTTTTTTCAAGTCTTGTAAGTTCTCATCATCGCTGCTACTGTCTATGGTTTCTTTTTTCTTATTCTTTGTTGGTTTCTTGTTTAATTTTTCGTTTTGTACTTCCTCTAGCTTAGCTGTACCTTCTTCGGAAGTGATTACTTCAGCACTCTGCAGATTTTCCTTCTGCTTGTAGAAACTTTTGGTGCTTGCTTAATTTGTTCGAACAGTAGTTCTTCGAAAGATTTTTTCTGAAAGATTGAAGTTGCTGGGGTTCACTTTCCGTGAATGTAGACGATTCCGTAGATGTGGACGGTTCCGCGGATGTCAACAGTATTGCTAAATTTTCGTTTGTATTAGCGGTTGTTGTAGGTGTCGCAGCTATCTGTGGTTCTTCACCTGCCTCAGTTTCTCACCAGCGTTTGTAAGCTTTTGGCTCGTAGCTCTCAATAGGTACAACAGTGTCGCAAAACGGATGGATTCCTGCTTTCTTAAATCCATGTTCAATCAACGTGGGATCCAGATTTTTCTAAATTTTGGATAGAATAGCTACAAAAACCGTTTTTGGAAGTTTAGAGCCGTAGTGCTTCGGTTGCCATTTTACGAACTCTTCGTCCCATTTTATTTTTAGGGGCCGGAAGATACTGAGGTCCATCGGCTGGAGTATATGGCTTGAGTGGGGAGAAAGTTTTAGAATGACATGTCTTCTGTCTTTGCCTTTTCGATCAGTGAAAGTGCAACATGGGAACTATGCCCATCAAATATGAGAATAACTGATCTTTCGGGTGGGATGGTTTTAAGAAAGTTCTTTTAAAATAATTTTCGAAGGTTTCTGCTTCCATCCACCCATTTTTTGTAACAGAATAAGTTAAGCCTGGATATTCCTCGTCCTTTTTCGCAAGCCATGTAACCCAGACATTTTTACCTTTAAATACAATATGAGGAGGCAATTTTCCCACCCATTAACACGTTTTCTTTTCCAGATCCACCTGTTGCCCTATGAGCAGCCGTACCTTTTTGGCCAACAACTTTAATTTTGCTTGGATCCAGACAAAAACTTGTTTCATTGATGTTATAAATTCTTGATGGAGGAACACCTTGTATGATAGATTTTAGCAGGGTGAAGTAATCGTTGATGATGAACGGATCTACACTTCTTTTTCTTGCTATTTTCAGTTTTTTCTGGCTGAGGTTAAAAGTTTTTTAAATCTTATGAAGTACCTAGTCGTCACCCGGGATGCCGTCTTTGAATGGAGTCTGAATGTTATTTTCTTTTACGTATCGGCCAATAAGTGAAAACACTTCCTTTTTGGAAAGCCCAAATCCTCATTTTTCCATAACTTTGATGTATGCTATTTTCTTTTCTTCCTCATACGGAATAGAGGTAGGTCTACCATAGGCTCTACTTTTGACACCATTTTGACCCTTCACATGTTTAAAAAGTGTTGCTTTTGGGATCTCGAACAGTTTTGATGCTCGATACAGCGTCATGTGTTGATTTCTTACAGCATTTATGGCTCTATCTAGCAGCTCCGTAGAGTATTTAGGTGGCGGCTTCTTTCGAACGTAAGTTCGAACCTTTTCTGAAACAAAGCAATAAACACTTATTAAAACAACCAACCAAGGACGGTAGGTCCCACTTGCTCCACATGTATGGATAAGTGGAACCTATTTTGGGTTACTGAAATCTGCGTTATTTTCCAACAAAAATAAATAAAACTTCCTCAGATGTTTCAAATTTAAACAAGTACATTTTATCAAGGAATTTTGGCAAAATTTAAGAGATATTCTCAGACATTTATAACATAGGCTCCACTTTCTCCTTTGGAAATTTCAAGGGGCAAGTGTAACCCATGCTATTTCCGCAATAAAAAAACATCCACGTCCAATACACCCAAAACGTAAATAATTGATCCTTATGAGGTACTTACTTGAAAAATAATTTATATTTCCACAAACTTCTGCGATTTTTGATGCACTTTGTAAAAACACGTGCCACTCGCTACCTTACCTCTGTAGACAATGTTCCAGTTGCCGGTCATACCGCAAATGCAACGCGGCACGCAGGAAAGGACTCGCAGTATGTAGGAGATATATGTAGGAGTCTAGTCGGGAGATGGCGACACTGCATTGAAGATTATTCAATTAAAATAGGCCGTGGGTTCCTCTTGCCCCAAAAATACACTTACCTCGGTGTACTTTACTGCATTTTCATCGATTCTAAAAGAAGAAGAAGAAGAAGAAGAAGAAGAAAAAAAAAACAATAAATAACATTATTTTGGAGTATAATTAAAGTTTTTTGTCGATAAAGCTTTAAACAAAAATTAATTTAAGGTGTTAATACATACCAAGAATACATTTGGCTAATCTTAAGCCCTTAACCCCCTTCAAGCCCAGGCTTTTTTTCCTAGATCGCTACCTATATCCCAGATGTAAAAAAAAATTTTCTTCTGTAATCCAGTAATTATTGTTTCAGTACATCAGAGAAAGTATTTTTTGTTAAAATAAAAGGCAATTTGCTTTGTTTTTTCAGTGGCGTTACTACAGGTGCCTTAACTTTTTTGATTGTTATATTGTACAAAATGATAAGGTACATGCAGGTAATATCGCCATCTTAAGGTTCTACTGTAATTTGGACAAAGCAACATGACTAAAAACCAAATAACTTTTACAGGTGTTTTTCCGTTGATATAAGCAACAATTTTAACATTAACTAAACTGTTTTTGTTTTCCTTTTAAAAGGGTTAAGCACTTATAAAAAAAATATTGTCTATTGGCGGTATTACCAACCCCCCGTTGGTAATAACGCCAAGTTGTTGATCTAATTGTTTAAGTATAGAAACTAATCGAAGGAATAAAAAATACAAATAATAAACATATAAGACATTTTCAAACATTTATTAATTTCTAAGAGCAATATGGACAAATATAAGGAACAATTTTGTCAGATTTGGTTAAACCAATACACTCATCATGAAGGTAGGAATTGCAAGCACTGCATAGGCGCATATCGGCTACTCTATCCTCTTTGCAGGCTTTGCAAAACCAACTTTCCTTATCACATGTTTTTTTGTGATCAATCTTTCGATTCGAGGGTTTGTTTTTTTTTTCGTTTCGTAGTGAGCTAAAAAGGTCTTTCTTTAGAACCTGTGCTCTGCTATTAATTGCTGGATTCCTTCTAGGTTTAGTAGATTTTTGTGAGAAATCTGGTGTCGGTAGCATCTCGGAAAAGGAAGTTGTGACTAGGTTGTTTGTATTTTCAGATTCGCTCTCTTCGTTTTCACTTTCTTCAGATGAGTCAAAGTTACTTACACTGATATCATCTGAATCATCACTACTTTCGGATAACTCCCTCGCAATACGTTTTTTAGTTGGATTTTTTTTGACCTGGACCATTTTTGAGGTGCTGGCTTGGGGACTACTGTGTTTTGGTGGTTGGATAGCTTCGGATAGACTTTCAGGCGGTTGAATTTTCTCAATATCTTCCGTTAAATTTTTATTCTCAGTAATGCTGCTTGGAGCAAAAGCTTCGACTGGTATGACATCTTGATTAAATGGGTAGATTCCTGTTGCTTGGAAACCTGACTTTATATTAGCAGGTGTTAGAGATTTATCCCATACTTCAGAAAAAATAGCTCCAAAACGTTGCTTGGTTATTGAACGATCTATATTTTTGGTCCAGTATTTTAAGACCTCATCATCCCAATAGTGTTCAAAAGAACGAAACACTGCTTTATCCATGGGTTGTAATTCATGGGTGGTGTTACTTGGTAAGCAATATAATGTTATGTTGAGCTCATCTGCTACTTGAACAATTGAATAATCCAAATGTGAAGATGCACCATCAAAAATCAGTAGACAAGGGCCAGGTGCTTTATATTTTGAAAAATGTTTCAGCCACACTTTAAAACTTTCAATTGTCATGCTGCCTTTTGGGGTCATTAAAGCGATACCTCCTGGAGGAAACTGGTCTGTCCATTCTGGTTTTAATCGTTTCCCTTTAAATAAAATTACAGGTGGTATGACAGAGCCTATTGCATTAGCACATGACACAACTGTGACATTTTGTGCATGTTCATTTGCAACCACATGAACTCGTCTAGCTCCTTTTTTCGCTAATACAGACTGCTGATGATGTAGAGTTAGGCGACATCCTTTCTCGTCCATATTGTATATGCATTGGGGTTTATTCATTATTTCTAATGTCTGCATAATATCTTTCAGTTTGTTAAAATGATCATTAACTATGAACTTATTAAGTTTTTGAGCTCTTGCAGGATTTAGGTTTTGAGCTTTACGATTTCGAATTTCGTCATGTCGTTTTAAAAATCCTTTGAGCCAATAACGTCCTGCCATTTTTGATGTCTCAGAAAACGGGGTTTTAATTTGATTCGTTATGCAAAAATTGTACACGCATCTCCTAAGTACCCTCGATGTTAAGGGATATCCAATTTCGGCTAGACGTATTATTCTTTGACATAAGTTCGGTTCTTCATCAGAATTAAGTATGCACTTACGTCCCATGGGAAGTTTAACTGCTACATTTTTCTTTATATAATCTCTTAATGTTCTTCGTGGAATTGCAAAGTTGATACTTGCTTTATTTACGGAGTAACCATTTCTGATGGCAGTTAGAGCATTTTGCATGTTGTCTGCATTCCATTTTCCTCTCAATCCCTTGCTTTTGTATTTTGGCATGGTGAAAAATCTGTAAAAAAACCGTTACTTTATATCAACCCGATGCAGGTAATAACGCCATGGCGTTATTGCTCTTCAAGTGTATTGGCGATATTACCAACAACCACGTGTTCAAATATTTTCCCCAAATTTAACCCTAAAAATGTTTTATTTGACTGGTTGAATTACATAGCCTCCAGTATATAACATATATTTTATAACTAACCCGACAAAAAAACAAATACCAAAAAACTGTCCTTACCGGCAAAACAATTCACTAAAGAATAAATAAAATACGTTCGCGCCTAACGTTCTGTTTAAATACATGAACCATACGGCGTACAATCATCAACTGACGCTTTTCATGGTAGAAGATCTTATTTGTAGAATAACCTCATTATATTCTCAGCGCCATCTATTATTTAAAGGTTATAGTTTTTTAAGAAATCTAAATTGGCGTTATTACCAACTTGGCGTTATTACCTGCATGTACCTTATAATATGATTTTAACGTAAATAAAATACAATTGAAATGGAAAAATTATACATTTATTCATACTATACAGAAAATATATTTATACAAAAAAAAACAGTGGCATATAAGATAAAATTAAGTTATATTACATTTTTTGTCATATATTCTTTTGAATATAATGCAGTTGAAATAAAAAGCATACATTTATTGCTACTCACAGGAGACAGATTTTTTTACAAAAAAAAGTGGCGTAGAACGTGAAATTAAAATGCGATTTATTATTTTGACATATATTGTCTGCAGGAAAACATGGTAAAAAAGCTAGAAAACAACATTAATTTGAAGACCAAAGAGCTTTTTTTAAAGTTATCGAGAAAAAGCAAATAAAAACACAGTGACGTGCAAAAGAAAAAACGGAATATATCAACTTTGATTGTAACCATGGCACACATCAAAGTGTGCCTCCAAACATAAGTAAATGGGCGCGTGTGAGCAAGTACCACACATATTAGCTCTGTAAGTTATTTTTTTTGGTAGCAAACTCTACAGGTTCCTCGTTTGCGACGAGATCTATGTACTTTTCAGAAGAAACAAAAACATGTTTTTCTTCTCTTTTGTTTGTTTTTTATTTTGAAACTGTTTCTTCATAGTTGTATATACTGGGGAATATTTTGCAAGTAAACCGTCAATCAAACACTTATGGAACTCCAAAACCCTTATATCCTTGTCTTTATCATGTGTATAGAAAACCTTGACATTCAAAACCATACGCTGCACAACATGTAAACCGATTTCTTTATATTTGTATAATAGTATTCAATGGCAGATGGTTTTTGAAGTAGTACGTTAGTAGACACTGATGGCTGGTAACGATTTTTTTCAACAAATCCCACTGTGAGCTTAGTGGACAACAAGTTAACATATCTATATCTGACAACTAAAACATTTTTTTGTACAAAACAGGTTTGGTAAGTGTTGAGACATATTTGGATTAGTTCCTTAGGAACACCTCGAATCAACGTACTGAAAATGGATCTGCTACAACAGTGAAGTCACCCATGCTTGTAGCTGCTTGATCTTTATCTGAAATACTCGATAAACTTTCGCAATCCGTATCAGATCCGCTAGGCATATATTCAAAGCCCGAATCCTCAAATTGTTCATAATCACTCAAGTTGGACATCTTAATGCGTAGACACAAAAAAT